GGCGCCTAAGGCGCCTTGGTGAGAATTAGAGAATAGACTCAACGAGAAAGTCAGCTTGTGCTGTGCCACAGTGCCCGGTTTGGCTTCTCGAATCTAGTACCTAGATCATTGCAGGCAGAACGAAATTTGAATCTGCATATGTAGTTGCGGGGTAAACAGCGGTCGTCGATGTCCAATCTGTGCGATCGGAGGGCAATAATATCGGCTGCATCCGTCAAGGATACACAACACAAATCGTCGATGAGGGGAGAGCTTACTGTCACTGCCGTCCGATCAATCGTTCCCGCCATTTGAATTCTGCTGATGTGAACCGTCCATCACAGGTACACAGATCGGAAGGCTCCGAGGACCGGGTCCTCCTCGTGAACTTTGGGCCTTAGCGGCTAGCCAAAGATGACCAACTCAATCTGGTTCATCCTGCTAGGTGGAAAGATACATCCTCTGATACAGCAAGCGAAGCCGTCATGGCGTCAATTTGGTAATGGCTTGCACCCTTGGGAGCGGCTTGCTGAGTTGGGTTGCGCAGCAAGATTCAAGTTGGAACTTTCTGCAAGACCTTGAATAGTGACAGAAAGGTGGACTATTGGCTTTCCGCTTTGTATCTTTCAGCACTTCTGGGTGGTAATTGTTTATGTGATGTAGCTCATCAGGACACTCACTAATGGTGCTGATCGGATGTTCCTGAATCCAGATTCTAGCCTCTTGAGAGGCTCAGTAGCTACTCAGGGCTTCACAACCACGGTTTATATAGAAAGGAGCATCGTTTTTTGGCTAAGTCCAGGGTGACCAGATTGCAGTTACTGGAGTGACTCGTGCAGGTCACGCGGCACGAAGGAGCAGGTTTTGTTGACAGCATTTTGCTCTGTGCCTGGGCGCTGCGAATGGAGAGCAGCGGGTTGGGCGTAGGCGTCCGCCTTATCTGCAAGGCAGAGATGACGAGCACCTGGGAATTTGAGGAGCCGTTGTACCCATCTCTGCAGAATGTACATTCCAGAGATGTGCCCTGCGAGCTCGTCAGGGTAAACGCGCCGTCATCATTAGTTGAGCCTCTTCATGTCTACCTTCATGCGGCGCTGTCGAAAGAGAAGGACTTGTTGGGCAAGTGGCGGGCGCTGTTCATGAGATATTACCAATCAGAGCGAAAGCTTTGGGACTCTGCATTCCTTCGATTTGAACCGCAGTATCGATTAAAACAGATTGAAGGCATTTTCAAGAAGGTCAAGCGAGGGAATGTTGCAAAGAAGCCGGTTGTACGAGTCAGCGCCGTGGTGGCCTTGCAGCGCGGGGGTGGTCCGGGCAGCAGGCAAGTTTTGCTTCTTATGACTGCACAGTTTCGCAAAGGGTTTCTGGGCATGCCAGGCATTTTTAGCTAAGGAAAAGCTGAATCTCACGTTGCTCATTCAAGGGTAGCTTTCAAAGATGTCAGACAAGTTTCAGTAGCCTGCTTCTCTTGGTAAAATAGACTCTAGTCCAAAGCTCCCGTCTCAAAACCTGTGTAACACTGTCAACAAACCACTCTGATCTGGAGCAAGTGACATTAAGATCATTGATTGGACGGGAGCTTGTTTACCAAGCCAGCAAACCCAACAGGTGTGAACTCAATTGGGTTGCATACTTGGCGCGCCTATTGTCCACTGCAGAAGCGCAGTGTTCTTGCTGCCGATAGAAGACATGTCTTTGTTCTCTGCAGGGACTGCCGCCCAGGGCTGGAGCAAAACGCAGGTGGGGCTGCCGAGGAGGGGCAAAGAGAGGATGAGAGCGCTGGCCTTGACGCTGCCATACAAAGGTCAGGCCCGGAGACACTAGAGTCAGGGCAGGCAGAAGCGGCGTTCGCGAGGCCGGATGCCGGCAGTTTAGGAGAGCACGGGAGTGCTGGCGCACGTAGGGGAGAGAAGCATATGGTGGGGGCACCAAAAGAGGAGAACGTGGGGAAGGTGGTGAAGAGCGGCAGTGGAGGCCCTAATAGCGCAGTTGCCAGCACTTCGAGCTGTCAAGCTGCCTCGGGCATCGAGGGAGGGGTCAATGGCGCCGCAGGATCGCTGGAGTATGAGTCACCCATAGGGGACAAGGTATGTGTTGTATGAAGTCACACCTGTTTGAAGAGTTTTTTGTCCGGAAAGCGCAGACGTACAAAGCAGGATGCTGCATCAGGCTCGCCTGGCTGCGCAGAGTTCACATCAATTTATTGGGCAGCTTGTTTGGTGTGGTTTTACTGTTCAGAAAATTCGCGTCTGGATATGTTTACAAGCAAGTTCTGTCCACATTTTCTACCTTTCTAGTTTCAAGGATCAGTCCGGCATCTGGTGGTCGGTTGCTTTAGCAATCACCCAAGTTTGCCACGTCATGCACCGAGGCCCTTCTGGCTGTGATCAGTGGCACATCTTGGATGTAAAAGCTCACTGCTTCCACTTGGGCATCTAAAAGTTGTCCACTGAGAATCCAGTACGAGCGCACAATGAGCACGTTGCGGTTCTGCTCAGTCAAAGATTTCTCAGTTGAGATTGCAGAAGTGTCGCTCATATACTCTTGGTTGACCATGTTGTTGTGCTGCAGTCTCTGCGGATGCTGACGGTAGAGGAGCGAGAGATGCTGCAAATGCCAGACGCGGCTGACGCTGTGGGAAGTGGGTCGTATGGAACAGTGTACGAAGTGTTGATTGAAGGGGGGTCTTCTTGGGCTAGTGTCTTTCCTGATCGTGTTGGGACCAGGGTTGCTGTAAAAGAGTATCGCGGCAGAGGCCTGACTTATCATCACAGTACTGTGTACACAGTCCAAAACCTTTCGTACGAGGTCATTCTAGCATCGGCCTTCTCGCACGACAACGTCGTGAAGCCCTTCGCTGTGTGCATCGGCGGCTCTGGTTTACCACTGGCTTTCTTCCCTTACTTCAATCAGGGATCTTTAGGTTCTGTCCTTCAAAAACGGGATGACCGCAGCTTGGAGAAGCCCCTCGCTAAGATTATGCGGAAGGCCAAGGTTCTTGTGGGGGCGTGCTTGGATCTCTTAAGGGCAATCCAGCACGTTCATAGTAAAGGTATTGTACATAACGACCTGACTCCCAACAATATTCTCGTCCACTTCAACGAACGTGAATTGACTATGAAGCTGGCTGTGCACGACTTTGGTTTGGCGAGTAGGCTTGTTGACTGTAAGAGTCATCGGAGCTTCAAGTCCGTCAAAGAGGAAGAGCAGTACGCTAAAAGGTATAGGTACGTTGCTCGAGAGCTGATCTTAGGGAGCTGCTTTTCAAAAGCAAGCGACATGTATGCCGTAGGTCTCCTGTTGGAGGATCTACTAGGGCTCGATCGGGCTTCAGTCAGAAAAGAGTTGTCGGAATCAACGGACTGGAGTAAGGTGCTTCTTCTAATAGCTTCGCTCTCTGAAAAAGTCCCTTCGAATAGACCGACTTGTGATCAGGTGCTCCAAGCCTTTGAAACATTGTGGCAAATATATCAATGTAAGGATTGAAAGACAAGAGGTAGATCTATTGAAAAGTTTTACATTGAACATGTACTGCAGGCGTCGGTCGATTGACAGCCCACCGGAATCTTGCACAGCGGCTCGCCGCCCGCACATCAAAGCTGCGATGTGGTATAGACGGGATCAGTTGCATGTGCCCTTCGATCAAATGGTCGTAATCGTATGCAATGAGGAGTGCCGGCAGCGCCCGCGCAGATGAACGCAAGTGCCCGGCTGATCGACTTGGACTTTATGCACTGGCGAACAACTTAACGATCGTAAGCAATGCTGCATGTCGACTCGGACTATGGGCACTATGATCTGCCAGGCCTCCTCATGACAAATCGAGCCTGATCGGATGCGGCAACCAGCGATCGTGGGGACTCAAGTCATTAGCCTACATCGATGATGTGACGATGGTCCTGGCATGCGGGCCGGGCTTCAATTGTTCCCTCATTATACAACCATATAGAAGATTTGCCAAAATACAACATCGTCTAGCTTTTATACTGCGCACTCAACATGAGCCACTCAACAATATGTCCGGCCAGTTGTCCTGGCATGCCGCCAACGTACAATGATCCGATTGTCCATTGCACTGATTGCTGCAGTCAAAGAACGAAAGATTGCGCCGCGGCGCTGCTTAGTCGACGAGGGCTTTGTCATTCAACGGTAATGATCGTCTGACTTCTGTTCATGATCACATTTGACTCAATCACGTGCAGCGGTAAGCGAAATTGTAATTTCTGTAACTGTTACTGTACTAATCACATTTGACTGCAACGGTTCGAGGCCATATGCGTTTCCATTAATAATAGAAACGCTTCGTGCGCTCATGAGTAACAAGACATAATGCACGCGCGATGCAGACGAACTTCGACTCGCCTCCGAGTTGAAAACTTTGCATGAGATTGAGCGTTATCAATTGAAAGCCTGCCGCGCACAAGCATATCGAGATATATAAGACATGGTCGGTCACGATGGAACCTGCCGTTTTAAGTATATATGTGTGCCATTGAGCTCATTGCATATTCGAGCATATGCATGATATACGGTAGTGCAAAAGGCCGGGCTGTCACGTCGACATTCAATGGATAACCTCAGCTCCCCGGCCCGGGCCCCGCAGTGGTTCCGTTCCACAAGTTAATGGGGGCTCATATGTGGCCGGGCCGGCTGCATCGCATGCTTGAAGTTGCACCATGCTTCATGCATGTGCAACTTGATCGAGCGCCGCAATTGATCGTGTGCATATATGATGTGCTGGCTCTAAAGAGCTTCTCCATAGCGTGCCTACCTGGCGCGCCTTTGCCATGCAACTGGTTGCACTAGCTCGAAGAGTGACAGACAAAGAAAATTGTTAAATGCGACAATGTCGAGAAGCCCCGAAACAAGTGTCGGTATTGGAACTGACAACTCAAACTTCAATAACATATGTTAGTCGTAATGTACAATTCTGTCTGATCCAATCAAGCGCTCTTGAGTCAGATTAATGGAATAATTGTTACTAAACTACGCTTACTTTGTTGACGGTCTTAGCAACCTTGCGCCGCATGCGCGGCCCTAGACCAGACGCGTTTCATTGACATAAAACATACCTTCGTTATTTGGATCTGGGAGAATGTGCTCGAGCCGTTTTATTGTCTGAAGACCTATGACGTCATACCGAACCTGCTCAACCCCGTTGGGCCCGTTTACCATTTCCCATTTCAAACGAACGCTCCTCGTTCCGTCTTGTGGGCCCGTTTTCTGATACCACTTCACGAACGCATAGGCGCGCTTCCGACCTCGGTGATCAACACAGGAAAACAACAAACGAAGCTGTGCATACCAATCGGTCCGCTCCAATCGCCCTCGTCGTTCCGGCCCTACTCCATCCACAACCACGCTGCTGAAAACGGGCCGCTTGTTCTGCCCGAAGCATGGGTTCGCCCGAGCCAACTCCGTCTTCAAACTGCCGTCAGGCTGGCGCGCTCTTGCAATCGCAAGCGTCATGTGTCGTATAACCTGCATAATGAGAAGCGAACCCGTTGAGCTTCGCACCCGGCAGAATGACAATTGTCGTCAACAGTGTACAACAGCTTCAACGTTTCGGCGACTGTAGCACCGAAAGCAAGCAATCCTTTGGCAATCTAATGACATAAGACTTAAGCAGAATTCATCGTTCGAACCAAAGCTTCCGCTTTGAGGACTGAGCATCATTACACAATCAACTTCGTCGCATCCACAACTTGCTCACTTCTTGAAGAGCTTCGAATCTAAACGACCGCAGTCCAAAGAACTACCAGAACGTTGCGATGTAGCAGCACAAACCCAAAACAGAGTTGAATCGGTCGATCTCAGTCACCTCTCACCTTGGCGTCTTGGACGGTAGGAAGGTTCGCCAGCAAAGCTCGCGTACCTCTGGGATTTCCCCCGAGGTGCGAACGAAGAACGCGCTCGAGATGGACCAGCTCGGGCTGTGCGAGAAGTGCGGGATCTCGATTGCCATCCCGCAGGGACTGCCTGGACAGTCGGAAGAGCCGGAGAGGGCGACCTTTCACGCTTAGCAGGTTGGTCTTCTGGTCCCTAGCCTGCAATCAGGATGAAAAAAAAACATCTTTTGGAGAAAATCATCTGTAGCGTTGCATCCACGCAAAGTTAGCCTACTTTGTGGCAGGCAGGAACGTCAAGATGTTTAGGCAAGATCGACCAAGAGGAAGAAACACACCCACTCGCAACAACCAGATAGTTTTAGAGATAGTCCTGTAGAAGCAGTCGAGCCTTCAAAGCGCGTCAAACACCATTGGCAATGTGAAAAGCCCCCTCACTGAGCGCTTGATGAACTTCGAGAAGTTTCAGTTGGTCGAAACGCTCCAGAACATCCCGACAAATCAACAAAGGAAGGAGAAACAGACATGAACAGAGACCAGGAAAGAGAAGGACAGCACTTGCAAGAATAAAAGGATGCAAGGGGCCAAGCCTGCGAAAAACAACTCACCCGTTTTCGGAGAGCCGTCTCCTTTTGAGTTGGAACGAAGTAATCCTTCCCCGCTTTTCGAAGGGCGAGTCGGTCGGTCACATGCTTTACCATTTGCAGCTGCATATGGTTTTTGTTGGAAGCCCTGAAGGGATTCTTCGCCGTCCTCTTGTGACTCGACTCGTAATTATCGGCAGAGTACTCCCCGGGGAGACCTTTAAGACTGACCGACTCGGTCGAATGCGCGTTCGTGTGTACCTTTGAGGTGCCCCAACCCGAGGCCTGGTATGGCAAAATCCTCTTCATCTTAGCTAGAACCTTATCCCAATCAGCGTCGACCTTGGCCAAGGACGCATCGGTGTGACCTCGGCTCTTGTGCCTGACTGCGAAGTCAAGGTACACATCAGCAAAGTCTCGAAAAAGAGGAGTTATCTCGTCACGCCCATTGGGCAGGGTAAAGACGCCCACGACTGCATAGACGGCCACCTGCAAAGAGGCGGAAAAAGAGAAGTCTCCGTGGCAGGCTGTGTGGACGATTCAATATTCGGAGTTGTAACCAACGAGATTGGAGAACCAGGGACTACAAGTTGCTACGTTCGTCCTTTGATCAGATAACCGTCAAGTCCACATCAACGTAGGGCATTCCCTTTGATTCGAGTGGCTTAGAATCAGATCAGATCAGCAGTACCTTACGGGTATAGGCACCCGGAATTGAGTTAACAGCAACCAACGGTAGAATCACCGGTCAAACAGAGATCTGCTGAGACCGTACACCCACCGACAGACTGTGCCGATGCTCGAAGGCAGTCACAAAAGAGGAACCGCCGAGGAAGTCGATGTTGGGCAGGCGGAGACCCGGGTGTGTGTTCCGGAAAGAAAGAAAGCGCTTGTTCGCTAAAGCCAGGCGCTTATTCCCTTCCTTCGCTCCAAACTTGTCCTTGGCGTAGTTGCCCACGAGCTCGAAGAGCATGGGTACTACCCCGTGGTCTAGCTGCCAGAACAAAGCGTAGTGCTTTTTGAAAATCTGAGCAGGATCTGGACGGGATGTCTGCGTCGGGAAGGACGGAAAGACCACCCTTTTGCCGGTGTTGCTTGGAATTTCAAGTTCAGTAAAGTTACCTCAGTTCAGCAGCCGTTTGGAGAAGGATAAAGTAGCAAAACGAAACTTTGAAACAAAGTCACAGGCTGCGTTGTGACGCCGCATACCTGGTGCATGATCTCTGGTAGTATGGAACGATAAACGTTCCCAGACTTTGTGTTGCCGCCCTTCCAATCCCACAGCGCGTTCTGCAAAACGCAGTGCTCAGATCAAACGGAGATCAGATGATCCAACCCATACAGACTTGTGCAGATTCCCGAACTCCAATCGGTAGTAGGAAAAGACTCTTGATTCAAGCCCTGATGCGGGTCGGACTGTAGAAATACTGATTTGAATTTGCCCGTGTTTTGAAGATAAGCGCTCACGACCAGCCTGGACAGCCGCATCATTCTTCTCAAGGAGACTGAATCGCATCAATGCAGAGATCAGCAGATGGCAGTAACACTGGCAGCCTTCGACGCTTTTGCCAGGCAGATTGTGCATGAGCTGATTGCGGCGCAATATACAAGGTTATCATTCATACTACTTGACGCCCAAAACCCTATCTCTTGAGTGCAAAGGATGACAAGCAGAACCTCCACGTACCTCAACCGGGTTTGCTGACCAGCCTTTGAGGACTCAATGACCGCAGTGCACCCCCCCTTCTTGTGGAGCTCCACAACCTGATCGTAGATCTGCTTCATCCTTGTCTCTGTCCGCAGCTCGGCGCGTCTGCCTGCAACTAGATCGTCAAGATCGCAAGCCAACACAAGGCACGTATGACAAGGACAATTGGTCTTGTTGCCGCTCTTTGTACCTGCAGCGACACATCCTTCCTGCCAGTCAGTTACGACGGCGTATATCATGGGCCAAACTGTCGTCTTTACTCCGTTTGCATCCTCAACCTCCATGCCCCTGCACAAGAAACAAGTTCAATGAGAAGGTGCTCCCCATTTGAGAGGTCTCACTTCACTCGTAGACATGATCACAAGAACAAAAACATTCTCAGGTATTAACAGTTGTTGAGCTACAAGCCAACTGATCCCAGGTCCAAGACAGACAAGGAAGTAAACCAGCCTAGAAAACTTGACTGTGCGGTGACCTGAACAAACTATGGATCCAGAACCTTACGTCAGAGTGTAAAGTTTCAAGCGCTCCAGAATCTTCCGATAGGAGTCGTGCCATATCTGGAGCTGCCGTAAGCGGAGCGCCTCCGAGCCCTCCGCGAGACTAAACTCTGGACGTGGTTCCACGTATGGAATGTAGCCCACGAGAACCCAACCAGACAGCTTCCCCCTAAGCTCCTTGGGAATGTTGGCAAGGCTCAAAATGACCGGGCGCACTTTGAGTCGTCCGCTCAAACTGAGCGGTGTCCCATCGCTGTAAAGGATCAGCGCCAGCACTGTGTCCGAAGCGGGAATCAACTTCTGCAAATGCAGACACACTTATGTGAACAACCACAGTCCTGAATGCTTCAAGAATAGTGTCCACACTCATCTCAACTTCGCTTTTGTCCCTGGAGGAACGTTGACGGCTGCCCACTTGGATACATCGCTGCAGAAGCTCTCTCATAACTTGCTGCTCAAAGTTGGATCTTGAGGAACTGCAAACATAACCAGAACTTCAAAAGAAGCAAAACCACTTAGCCGCGGGTCAGGTCTGAAAAAGCCTACCTGCATTTCATTCCACCAGACGCTGGTATGGGCCTCTTTGTACCGGCGCTCCCCATTTCTGCCGCGCAGTACCCTCGGCTTCAAGATCAGCTTTCCAGCGTGTATGGGATCCCTCCACAGATCCAAAACAGCAGTATATGCATCACAATAGTCGAGGAAGAGGTCTTGTCCATCCGTGGGGTCCGCAAGGTTGATCCTGGACCAGCCTTCCTGCGTAGCAAACAAACCACGATCTATCAGCTACCAGATCCTCATGCTAAAACCAAAAGCTCCTGAACTTAAAATGAAAGACGATAAGGGGAAAGACATGACCCTTGACACTGAATACCGACGGAATGCATAAGTTTACACTGCTTGCTCATAGATGGACAATGAAACTTCCCGTACCACCAAAGCTCACAGCTGAAGGACTTCCAGCTAAAGGGCCTAGCGATGAAGGTACAACCGACAAACTGGTATCTGGTAGACACTTGAGGTTTGAGGCTGCCCATTGAGACAGTCTCCACAGGCTGCATTCATAGATTGCAATAAAGAGGCCACCATCAGAAGGCATCCACTTTCTTGTCCCTCTCAGGCCCACACAATCCGAAGATCCACTGGCCAAGCTCACAGGAGATTGTGGCAGAATTGGGGCTCACTGGTTTCGGAAGCGCGTCAATATGCTTCTGCACGTCCTTATCGCTCTCCAACCCAGGAACCTCGGCGAAACTCAGTAGCCAGTTCTGGTCCTTTCGTGAGAGCCCTTTGCCCCCATTGCAGTTTTTGATGAATGCTACTACCTCTTGCCTCTTCTCTTCTTCTGGATCTTCAGAAGCAAAGGTGCTGGGCCCATCGCGGCAAGGAATCTGTTCAAAGCGCGCGCCTACCTGCTGTCCTACTGCAGATGTCCTTGGCTCTGGAGATATTAAATGGTGGTATGAAGTATCAGCTTCTTCAGAGTTACCCGCGCCAGCTGCATCCTGACTAGAAGTATGGTTTTGTGGAGGAGTTAGGGAATCTGGAACGGGGGACAGAGAGTGTCCAAGGGGAGCATCAAAAGCATTGAACTGCCGGAGCGGCGACGATGGTGGAGGAGTTGAGGAAGCAACTGCAGTACCAGATGCAGTAGACCTTGGAGGAGTGCAGCCCCCCTCCTTTCGCTGATGGTTGGTCAGCTGCTGAAAAGACACAAACTTCCTCTTACATCTACGACACACAATTCTGCCGCCTCCTAGGGGACTGCCCTGCCCATTGGTGGTCCGTGCAACTGCTCGTCTCGTGGGAGAAAGATGGGGAAAAAGATTATCAATGAAGTGGTTGACCATCTTCAAGCAGAACAAAGCCAGGATCCCAAAATCCCAGAGAAAAGTCCCATGAATCTGGCTCCGCCGCCATGCAGATCTAGCTGGTCTTCCATCTTAAGCTACTGAGATTCAAGTACTACTGCCAGAGAGCTTCAAGTGAACGCAATGCTAACTTCCACACGACGCGCTACCACTCTCCACAGTTGCTCCGCAAGCTCATCAGCTCCCAGGATGGCCCGCAGGATAGCAGCTGGTGTCCACAATTGGCAAAAGTGACCTGCATCTTAAGGTGACCACAGCCCCAGTGCTTCTGCAGAACCTGAGGCTGAGGTCCTTCTCCTTTTCTCAGTTGGCAGACTGAGATCCGGTAGTAGCGCATGCAAACAATGCCAGACATGCACTGCAGCAGGTGCACAGCTGATGTTGACATTCTTTAGCCACGCTGGCTACGTGATCGACATTGATTTACCGAACTGGATATTTTCAAGATGATTTCAACAAGCTTCAAGACCGTCGATAAAGTTTCGCGTCTGAATCAACAATCCAGATAGTGGTTGAAAAGTCTTCTCCGTCGAATCGACACTGGATCCCGTGTTGATTTTATTTTGTATTGATTTTATGTCGATTCGACAAACATTCGACAAGATCCCAAAACGCTGATGGTCGCCAGGGTTTTTGTCAATGACGGACGTATCCTGATTCCTGAACGTTGAAAATATGACTCAAATGCTTATCGACGGCTCGGAAATGTGGGCTGCTTCGTATTGATCCGATTCATCGGAACAGTTTGCCGCAGCTCAGTCATGCATGGACAATCTTGAGTCCAGTAATAGCTAGGCCTCTTCACGACTGAGGATCGCTATGAAACGGATCGACAAGAGACAGGGGAAGGACGTCACCTCGCGAGTTGCCAGTAACGAGGAAATCTTGTAATCGAAGGCGCGCTCGTATCTTCCTCACATCTCTCTTTTAGCAGCGTGACCGATAATATTACTGATCTATTCGATGCATCCCAACACTCATGCATGGCAAGGTCCGCTTTTTTGGTGATTGGACGTTTACTAAGCAATCTGCTAAGGACGTATCCTAGCTTGTTGGTGACTGTTTAATTATACAGCTGAAGTACACATATTTGGCTGCGGGGGGTGCAGGGCCGGTGTGATATTATTCGTTACTATTCAACGTAATCTACCAATCTGACCCTAGTGTTTTTGCAGTGCTTGATGCTCCAGAGGCCCGGCCCTGCCGGTACTGCGTCAGCCCTAGCTGGCCCGGGCCCGCCCGCCTGCAGTTGAGACTCTAGTACTGGTCCGAGTACTAACACTGTGCATGGGGCCTTTTCACGAGTGTCAGCAGCCAATATTAGCTGACCGGGCAATGCATTGAAGGCGCAAAGGCCGCCCCCGAAGGATTTGCTGCGCTCCCGGGCTGGAGACGCCAACTAACTTGTCCTTCTGAATTAATTTTGATTGACTTTCAGGCCTGTGCAGTGAGATTGGCCGAGCCTCCGTACCGCGATAAACGGTTGGAACGTATAAAACGAAAGACCTCCCATGCATATATTAAGGCAGAATTGAGTTCAATCCCTGCAACTGCATGAGACAATGGCATGCACGGCTTTAACAAGTGCCAGGCTGTGGGCCGTACGAGTTACTTTCATGGAAGCTTTCAAGTTTATCATCATTAATGGTTTCTTTCGGTGATCCATGTCAGGCGCAAAAACAACTTATGCCGGCTGCGTGCGGTTAGTTACGTGAGTCGCTCGAGTTAGCCTGAATCAGCATCTAATGCAAGGGTTACAAAGGCAGCCGCTGAGCAGAACTGCTATATGAATGCGTGACTGTACAGCTTCCGGAACACCTAGTTGCGTGCAAGTGATATTAATATACGCTAATTTGCACCGATTATGACGGTGATCTGTGAGTACGTCGGGATTCGAAGGGAGTCGGTGAGATACATTGGGCACTTCAACTTCGCGGGAAGCTGGTTATAATCCGTACCGGTGCAGTTGAGCATTCTGGAGGCTACGTTTGAAAACTAGCTGGTCTAGTGGGCAATTTAGAATCCCCTCTCGAGAGTAGATATAATCGATACACCAGCCAAGAACCTCTTGTCGCTCTTCTTTACCAATCCCTTGATCTATATTTTCTTTTCAGCCCAGCAAAAAGACAAGCATTTGGCTGGCTGCTGTACACGCTCTAAAACTGAACACGTCCTTTACTTTTATCAAGGATGCCTCTCCAGTGTTACAATCCTGTTCTCCCTGTCTCGCAGAGACTCGTGAAGCTCACGGTTCTCCTGCAAAAAGAGAATCATGCGATGAGCTACTAAGACAAAATCTAATCGGCCAAGCGATGAAAGTGAAACCAGCAGACGCTGGCAAGTGGCAAAGGAAATCAAAATACATTCTTGGGAACGTGAGAACCGCGAAGGTGGGCGAACGGCTGGTCTGCAGATGACGTCACCCGCTTTCGGCCTCTCGAACTACCTTCTACATCGCCATCAAATTCCGAATCTGCCGGCAACCTTGATAAAAAGAACGACGCACGAATCTGCAATAAGAAAGCGCTTATCGTATGTCTCCCAAACCAAGTCCCCAGATCCAGAGAGAACATTTTCCCGGTCCAAGCCTTACAATTGTAGTTCAAAACATGGAGAAAACTACGTCAAGGGCAGCCCCCTATCCAGTACGACTATTCGACTCTTCAGCAGATTCAAAACTCTCAGACTCACCCCAAGGTTACAAAGTTCAAGAGTAAGAGGCGGTTTGAGGAACTCGTTCCGTTCGCATCCTGAGATAATGGGAATCCATAGCGTCAACGCCGCTAACTCCTCTCAAAGACATTCAAACCAACTTTCAAAATTCAGAAGGAGCAAGTCAAGCCGTAGTGTTTTCTGACCCTATAGATGTGGGGAGGTGTGACGGTGCGTACCTTTGAGACGACCTTGATGTGCCGCTGCAGTGCCGCCACCGCTAGTTCCTTCCGCCCCAGCCGGTGGCACACGTCAGCATGCTCGCGCAGAATGGCCTCCAGCCGCAGGCCCTGCTCGTGCAGGCGTCCTGAAAGACGAAGTAAAAGAAAGAATCAGGATTTGCCACGATTTGCCTTAACTGGAGTGCGCTTACAAGTCCAGTTTTGATGGCCGGACCAGCGTGTCCACATATATGTGCCGGAAACACAGTTTACGGAGTAAATGCTCCAGGTATCGACGTGTTCGGTCAAGTCATATTCAGATTACTTAGAGAATGGCAGATGAGCTCTTACACTTTGCAAGCGACGCCGAGCCTTAATCTACTTCGGCTGTTCTGGACAGAAGTAACATCAGCCTGACACATATGTTTGTTGCGACGCGGATACTTGCTAGTTCGTCTTCTGTGGATTATCGGCAGGTCTCTTAGGAAACAAAGCGCAAAGCGACTTTCGGAGGGAATTGCGAAGGACTGCAGCCTCAAATATTCAATGCACCCTCAGAACTCCTCGAATCCCATACACCGGACCGTATACGAAGCGTCAGGAAAGAGAGTGCGTACCAGATCTCTGGGCCCTTTCAATGGATCACCAGAGTCCTTCTCCGGACCTCACCAAAATCTTGAACGAAACAAACTCTCATTCAGATTGTCAATCTAAGGTCGACATTCCAAGGGCTTTCGTCACCCGTCAGCGTGCGACACTCCGCCTCCCCGTTTTTTGCCCTTTCAGCAACGTCAGAGTGGACTCTATTACAGAAAATATCCCTGTATTCATGCCACCTGTTACAATTTTCTTTTCCGAAGGGCTGTCCCCACCCGTCAGTGTGCGACACTCCGCCTCCGCCCCTTGAACCCTTGGAACCATATCACTGAAAAGGTGTTAGCTTTTTGCTGCTTTAAAACTCAGATACAAACCCATCGTCTAATGGGCTGTGCTCACCGGTCAGCGTGCGACACTCCGCCTCCGCCCGTTTCGCCCTTTTGCCGTCGTGTCGTCTTTGCCGTGTGACGAGCTCGAGGGCGGTGGTCTGTTCTGAAAGAGACGCCTCGAGACGGCGCTTCTCCTCTGCAAACGACCGGAAATCATGAGTAGGTTGTTCTGCCTGTTTGCTCCACTCCAACTACCAGGTAGTATGAAAAGATCCACTCGTGGTCATCCACAGGTGCGGTCTAAAAAAGACGCCTGGAACTGCCAATGACTTCTGCAAAACGACCGAATGTGATGGGTTTATACAGTGTTGCCTATCGGCTCAATGAAGCAATCCGAGTTTTCACAATTCTCCTGTCTACTGATGGTCGCCCATTCCGTTAAGTGGCGCAGTCCGCTCCAACAGAGAGGCCGAAAGTTGCCGCTTTTTTTCCACTAATCGACGACTACATATTTGAACACTGGCGCCCAGGGGTTGCCATGTCCATAAGAAAAGAGAGAAGGGAGACAGCAGGTATGTAGTATGACCAATGTATAGGTACGCAGATGCATACTTATATCCATCCAATATGCTTCTCTTACCAAGGACCCGTTCCAGAATGCTCCGCAGGTGCCGCCGCTCCTCCGCTTCACTCACACCCGCCGCCATCCCTAGTTGCGCCGCACGTTTCTCCTCCAGACTCAACTCCAGACCCTCTCCCCCCCCCCGGCTTTCAAGCCCAGAATCCACCCCCCCTCGGAGCCCAACGTCCACTTTATCTCCCCCCTCGTTACCGTCCTGCCGCCGCCTCTTGTCCTCCCTCCCGCCCCCGCCCTCGATTCCCCGCTTCCTCGCCTCTTCCCTCGCTCTAGATGTTCCGGGCGTCCGAACCGGCGGGAGCACCGTCGGAACGGCCCTCTCCGGCGTCCGGACGGTCCGGAACATCCCCGCTGACGTCACTCTAGTCGGCGCTGACGTCAGCGCCAGGTCATCCCGCTCCTTGCGGACGGTCTCCAGCTCCCGGACTAGCTGTCCGTACGCCAGGTCGAGTTTGGACGCTAGAGCGGCGGCCGAGGCGAGCGCGGAGCGCGCCCGCTCTAGTTCGCTCTCGGAGACTGAGAAGCGGGACTTGAGGGTCTCCAACTGCACAAGGCGAGCGACCGGATTCAGGAGCCCAAAACCTAGAAAGATGGAGTGCGACTGAGATCCAACTCTTTTCAGCAACCAGCTCATCCACCGTTTGTCTGGGTGCAACATCGTCTGTGACACTTCCAGTGTTGCTGTGACTTTCTCAAGATGGTGATTTCATAAGCAGGCGACCATTCTCTCGGAGCAGCCTGCTCATAGTCGCCCATCAGCTCTCCACTGCGAACACCCGCATCAAACTCCGTTCAGGCCTGTAACATCAGTTTCTCGAGGAGTCTCAACTTTTATAATCAGGCGACCGTTCTACCTAAGCAGGCTGTTGTCCGTCGCCAACCATCTCCGGACGCCTAACCTCCCAGTAACTTGCATCCGCAAAAATCACAGCAGCAATCCCGTGGGCTATCTCACCTCAATAACCAGGCGACCATTCTGCTTGAGCAGCCTGTCACGGTCGCCCAGAACTTCCGCAATCGCCGTCCCGAGCCCCAAACCCGCACCCTCCCCGCTATCTCGCCTTCCTTCTACCCCCCCCTCCTCTTCCGCAAACACGGGGTTGAACCAAGCCCTGGACCCCCCTGGAACGGAAACCTCGCCCCCCCAAACCTTGACGAAGGGTTCTTGCTCCAAACCTCCGCTTGTACCCGATAACCCTCGCTCTAACCCTCCTGCTTCGCCCGGGGGTTTGGGCAACCCCAAACTTAACCCGACCCCCGCCGAAAATTTGGCGGTCATTCCTCCGTCCAATCCAACGGCCAGCGTCGGCTCCCGTTCGCTCAAGCTGAGCTTTCTAAACATCTCAGAGTTTCCGCCTTCCAGCTGATCAGACGGGTCGACCGACCCCGTGTCGTCATCGTCCACGTCATCATCATTCCCCTCTCCTCTTTCTAACCGACTCGGCCCCTCACAGCCAGCCCCGATTCCCGCCAGTCTTACTCCCCCTCTCTCATCCTGTTCCAGGGCTCTTTCTTCGTCGGTGTCAGCGTACTCCCCTTTTTGCACCCCATTCTGCACGCCCCCCGCTCTTTCACCATCGGTTACAGTCCCCCCCACAAGATCCATATCACTTTGCACCCCCCCATCACGAGATCCCTTGTTGTTCCCCCCCCGGAAACTCCCTTCCCCTCTCTGAGAGCTCCCTTCCGTAGTTGTGGTTTTGCGGGTTGCCGTTTCTTGAGGTTGCGGGCTTCGCGCGTGCCTTTGCAGCTCCCGTTGTAGCGTCTCATGCGCGGCGACCAACGATTCCAGCTCGCGAAGGCTGGCAGCGTGAGATTGTTCCAGGGTCGAAGGGATGCTTGGCAGATCGCGAATCTAGGAACAGGAAAAAGTCATTCAGGAGAATGATACAAGCAAGTCTGTCTGTAAATTGACAGGCGACAAACGTTTCCAGCTCGCGAAGGGTGGCGGCGTGAGACTGTTCCAGGAACGGGGAGACGATTGGCAAATCCCGATCCTAGCACAAACGCAGTACAACTTTTAGTATGATCATTTCAACCCCCTGTTGGGCAGGGACGGAGGAACGGATGGCAGATCTCGAATCTGGTGGGAAAAGAAGACAATTCTTTGGAATGTGATAAGGGAGATAATTCATCGAGTAATTTGACCGCGGACAAGCGTCTCCCAGTGCGCGAAGGCTGGCAGCATCAGATTGTTCCAGGGGTCGGGGAACGGACGGCGGATCTCGAACCTGGCACAAACGTCCGTGAAAGTTGTGTGAGAATGCCAAGAGAGCGGGTTTAAAATTCAAGTTGACAGGCGACCATTTTTCCAGCTCGCGAAGGCTGGCGGCGTGAGACTGCTCCAGGGGTGGGGCAACGAATGGCAGAGTTCGTACCTGGTAGACGGCAAGCAAGCCTCAGAGAAAGCAAGTGAGTTCGTGAGAAAAAGTGTCGTGAGTAAGAAGTAACTTTTGCGCTTGTAAGTGTTCGATGGCTAAAAGGACTGAGGCCAGACTTACGGAACGAAATCGAGTTCAAAACCTTCGGAACGGATGACCGATCTTGTACCTGGAACACATGGCAAGAGAGCTTCTGTATCTCCGTGGAAGAGTGGATTCGTGAGGATGCCGCGTCGATTTCTCGTGCGGCTTCATTTTAATCTATGGCTGAGACGGCGGAGGCCACTCTCTTGATGAAACTCAAAAAAGAGGATACTAGGCCGACTCAATAATAAGCTTCGACACACAATACTGAACCTAACCCAGAAAGACACCCGCTCCGCACCCCTATCCACCTTCATCTTGAATTTAACCTAAGTGACGTGACCTTATTATTATCTCGGGTTCATGTCTTCCTAAGTCTGTTATTCTCCTAAGAGGGAAACAAGCTTTCCTTCAGAAAGTACACTGCAAGCTCCGCACTTCGCATCCAACTATTTTGCTTACGGAGTCAAAGCAGGTTGACATTGCACGTCACTTTACCTTGGCCCACAAATGCGTGTTGTCCTTGAGAACCATGAGCACGCGTCCGAAGATGGTTTCCACGTCCGGCGAGTCCGAACTGGGGTGGAGCAGATTGGGAGAAGACGTCTTTCGGCCGATACCTCCAGCAGAAACAGGGCCCAGGCATTTCAGCAGGGACGCTTGGATGTCGTGCAGTCGCGAGAGGAGGCCCTGTTCGGAGAGAACTGGTCAGGTTAGCGACTCCGCCATCGGTGAAACGCTTCGACTTTCGCGTGAATGGCAAGAAGGGTCTTTTAACACGAGTATAAAAGATTCTTTTGACACGTAACGGATCACCAAATGTTATCGACAGGAAATTTTCCGAATACTTGCACTGCGGTCAGGTTCCATTTTCGTTTGTACGTTGCTGGCTAATTGTGGTTTGAGTCTTGTATCATTATCGAACTTGATTCTTGGCGGGCAATACTCAATACTTGTCGGCTCCCAATTCCATTTGGTTTTGTTAGCCATTGGAACACAAGACTTCAGACTCAACTCAAGTCTTGTTGGGGGACATTCATTGGCTCCCACCCCCTTCAAATCTGTTGGCATTTCAAACAAAAAGCTGCACAATTGGCTCGGAAAATTCCTCAAAGTGATGCGCATATAAGAAAGGGGCACAATCAGCCCCAATCTGCTTTCGTGTTTACCCAGCCAAGGCCCACGCCTAAGGGGTCCAATGAAGCCAAGGCCCATATCGCACTGTTATGAAAATTCAGCGTGTCCTTACCAGCAACTTTTCGCGCAACTCGTCCTCCGTCGAACCCTCGTCGTTGCCCCCCCCTGCTTCAAACGGTCCGCTGACGTCAGCCTGACGTCGCCGGTCGTCTCTCTTCTCCGCGACTGCCAGCCCCGCCAGCTCTACGTGCAGCCATTCACTCTGCTGACGTAGGTCTGAGAGCATCCTCTGCGCAGCGGCCACGTCATCCCCCGGGGCAGACTTCACCTCGTTCCCGGGGGACGCTCTCCGCGCTGTTTCGACCCCCCCGGCGTTTGGCACCTCGTTTCCGGGAATCGGCACCCCCACTAGTACTTCATCCGTCGGGGGAGGATTGAGTGAATTCTCGGGGGAAGTTTCCGCCCCTGGTTTGACCCCCGGCGAGGGTCTTCCCTTCGTTCCGTGGAGTGCTTTTCTTCCTGTTTTAGGGGCGCCCACATCCCCCTCAAAGCCAGTCTCAAGGTCGCCCTCTACCGCCAGAACACTGCCCTCCGCTTGCGGGTCGTCCGCATGAAACGCCAGCTTCTTCCGGACTCCCGAATCTGCTTGGCGCTCGCCTCGCCGAATTCCGGTATCTGCCCTTCCGGTGTCCGCTTTCCGTTCCGTTGTGTTCCGGCTTTTGACCACGGCACACCAACCGGCCACCAGAATAACTGCCCAGAGCCCCACCCTTTTCTCGAACTCGTCCTGTGTCTCCGCCAAATCCTCTTCAAGCCTTGCCACTTTTTCCTCCCAAACCCTGCTCTCCTCCTGACACGTGTCGAGCTGACGTGTCATCTCCTCGACGATCCCCTTCCGGGCCTCCAACGCACGGCGTGTGGCCGCCAACTCCTCTTCTACCGCTGACAGCTCCGCTGCCGACACGTGACGCCCTTTCGCGCCGTCCACGTGGCACAGCTTCGCAATTTGGTTCTCGAGCGCCGCTCTCGTCGCGTCCGCTGCTCTGAGCTTCTCTTTCGCGTCCGCCAAGCTTGCTTCGAAATCCCCCAGGCTCACCCCCAGCCGCTCGCCTTCCTCTTTGCGCCGAACGATCTCCGCCTCGGCCTTGTCGAACCTCTCTCGCAGACTTCTCATCTTCTCACCAAGAGCAGCCACCTCCATCTCTTTCTCAGACAGCGCGCCAACGGCTGCCGCCAGTGCAGCCTGCACTTCCTTCGACTCCCGTTCCCACCGCAATTTTGCGACTTCAACTGCTTCGCCGAAAGCCCCCACCTCTCGTTCGCGCACTTCGGCAGCATTCCGCAGTTCCTCCTCTTTTCCTGCGAGCGACTGCCGGGCTTCTTCCAGCGCCGTTGCGAGCGCCCGCGTCCCGTCTCTCACTTTCTCGCACTCCTTTTCAATGACGTCACGCTCGTTCCGTGCAGCGTCGAAATCTTTTCGGACGCTTTCAAGCTCGCTCCGGACGCTGTCCCGCTCGCTTCGGACAGTATCAAGATCGCGCCGAACGGTGTCAAGTCCTGCCCGGACGCCCTCCAGCTCTTTCTTGACATGGTCCCGCTCGCCCTGAACAGCCGCCGATTGTTTCTCTGCGTCCGAAAGCTCCTTCCGGACGCCTTCCAGCCTCATTCGTACGCCCTCAAACTCCCTTCGGACGCTCTCTAATTCACTTTGAACGCTTTCTAGCTCAGTTTGGACGCCGTTCAGTTCGCTTCGGACGCTTAGCAACTCCGCACGTGCCGCATCTCCCCGCTTCTCCGCTTCCTCCCCTTTCCGACACGCCGCCTCCAGCGCTTCCCTCGCTTCCTGCCGTTGCGTCCGCAACTCGGACATCTCCCGCTCCATTTGGACCGCGCGCGCGTCCGAAAGGTCCGCTTCCTCCTTTGCCGCGTCACACGCCGCCACCGCCTCCTTTAACTGCGCCTTGACCTCCCCTAGCTGTTTTCTTAACCCCGCCAGCTGTTCTTCTTTTTCTTCGATTCCGGACAACGCCTCTTCGCCCAGTTTCAGAGCGTCGTCCAATTGCCGCTGCAACTCGTCGGTGTCCGAAACAACCGTTTCTCTCCCCGCCTCTAGTTGGCGCTCCGCAATTTGTAGCCGGCCAGCGAGCGCCGCGCACTCGGACTGCGCCGCGTCTAGTTGCTGCACGAACTCCACAATCTCCCCCTCCTTATCTCGGCTCTGCGCTCGCGCCACCTCTAACAGCGCCGTCACGCTCTCGACCTCCTCCCGACTTTTCGCCCGCTCTAGTTCGAGCGCCTCCTCCAGCTTCGCAAGCTCCGCGACTTTCTCTCGCTCTAGTTCCAGCGCCTCTCCAAGCTCCCCTAGTTTTGCCCGCTCTAGATCGAGCACTTCTTCCAACTTCCCAGCTTTTACCCGCTCTAGTTCCAGCGCCTCCTCTAACTTCCCGACTTTCGCCCGCTCTGCTTCCAGAGCCACGTCCAGTTCCGCTACTTCCGCCCGTTCCGCTTCGAGCGTCTCTTCCAACTTATTAACCTCCGTCACGCTCGCCTCCAAACCTCTGCGCAACTCGTCCTTTTGCGCAGACACTTGCTCCAACTTCCCCTTCTCACTCCTCAACTCTTGCCTCAGAGTCTCAATTTCTGCCCCCTTCTGTTCCAAGTCCTTGTCCAGATTTTCCAAGCTTTCCTCAAAGCCCTTACGAAGGGCTGCCAGCTGTCCTTCCGTCTCCCACCCGCACTCTCGGCGGGTCTCCGTTACCAGCAGCTCCGTGTTTTGTTCCCACTCTAGTTTGGCGCCTGCCAGGGCGGACTCCAGGCCTTCCGAGTAGCGCTGCTCCGTGGCGGTTAGGAGGCGGTCAAGCTCCTCCTGCCACTCGGCTCGCGCCTGAAAAGCAGGGTTATGAAAAATGGTTTACAGAAAGGGTTGGGGAGGAGGGTCAAGGGTTAAAGAAAAGGAAAGGGGTAACGGGTAACGGAGTAAGGGTGCAGTGAACGGTTGCTGTATTTAAATGACGGTCTTCTGCTCCTGCCGATTGTACATGCCTAGAAAGCAGTTGTGAAGGGGGTCCAGGAAACGGGTTGAAGATGGTCTCTGACGAAGGTTGGGTTGAAAGGGATGAAAGACGGTCGAGCTAACCCTGCATTTTCCGAAAGACAGAGCGACAGTAGTTGAGAAGGTATATATATGCTGAGAGATCTTGGGCGAATCTGGACCGAATCGTCGACGTCGAATCCTGACTCAAGCACTGACATTCCAAGTTCGATGATTGAAGAGCGGCTTCGTAGCGCAGCGGAAAAGTAGCAAGTCACCAAGGGATTGATGCTGTTAGGACACTCTAAGTTGTTCTCGAACCTGCATACCCGAAGGCGCTACCTCTCCCATCTTTTACAAAGGCATATCAGACTGCTTCAGCGCAAGCAACGCACTGATTGAAAAGACTAATTGCATATTTGACATCAACAGCATTATGAAAGGGTAGACACTGGCGCGAATCCAAACGGCACAGCATCCATACCTTCTCCAGCCTAGCCTCCAGCCGCTGCTGCTCCCCGCCAACTTTTTTCCTCGCCCGCTCTAGTTCCTCCCTCACCGCCTCCAGCTCCGCCGAGGCCCTGTTCGCCTCCTCTTCTGCGCCCCTCGCCCTTTCCTCAGCAGCGCTCAGCGCGGCCTCTGCCAAAAAGAGGGCCTCTTTCGTTCCAGCCATCTGCCCCCCAACTTTTCTCGCCTCTGCCAGGTCCACTCGCAGACGTTTCAGTTCCGTTTCCGCCCGTTCTCGAGCGGATTCCGTTGCGCCCACCTGCTCGGACAGCCGGATCGCTCGGTCGGCAGCTCCCGCAAGGTCTTCCCGGAAGCGCACCGTCTCTTCCTCTGCGATCGCGAGCGCTCTTTCACACTCCGCAAGGGCCTTTTCACACTCCGCCAGCTGGTTCATTAAACCGACCTCCCGGTTAGCGGCCAAACCCAGTTCCTTTTGCAGCTTCTCCACTTCTGCTTCCGCCTTTTCACGTGATTCCGATTGGTCAGCCACCGCTTTCCGCTCAGAAGCCAGCTGGGCAGTCGCCGACACCAAAGACTCGACCGTCTTTTCCAAGTCCCGTTTCACCTCCTTCATCTCTGACGTCAGCACCTCCGCTTGCGCTTCTGCCGCCCGCACACAAGCGCTGAGCCCCTCCTCCCACTCGCTGCGCTCGTTCTCCCTCTCTTCCACCAGCACTCGAAGGTCAGTTGTCACTCTTTCAAGGTCAACTTCGAGCCCCGTAGCCCTCTCCCTTTGCATGTCAACTCCCTGCCTTTCTTTTCCCAACTCGCCCCTCAGGTTTTCTGCCTCTTCTAGAACAGCCTCCCTTGCCTTTTCTGCCCGTTCTAGTTCCCCCCTCAACCCTTCCGTTGCAGTCGCCCACTTTTCCGCCTCTTGTTTAGAGCCCTCCTCCTCTTCTACCCGTTCAATCGCCTTTCTTAGCCGCTCCATCTCTCTCTCCAATTCCACCGTCCGCTTTTCGACATCCTCCCGCATCTGAGATTTCAACCGCTCCTTCTCTTCTTCCATCCTCAATGCCCACTTCTCGACCTCTCCCTCAAGTCCCGCTGTCATCCTCTCCGTTTCTCGCACCGAATTCTTCGCCCTCTCTCTGTCTCGCGCCTCTAGGTCCCGCATCGCACCCCTCAATCTCTCCGTCTCTTGCGCCGCGACTTCTTCCCGCTCCTGAGCCCCCGCCAATTCCCCGAGCGCATCTGCCAGCTGTCCCCTTAGCCCATCCGCCTCCTGGATCGCCGCCTCTAGTTGTGCCATCAGCATGACGTCACCCGTCCCCTCGTCACGCCCCTCCAGAACGCTCTGCCGCCCCGCCTCGCTCTCCTCCAATAAGCTATGCGTCGCGCCCAGCTCCATTTCTAGCACCTCCAGCTTTCTACGGAGGCGGGCCTTCTCCTCTTCTGAGGCAGCAAGCGCCGCTGCGCTTTGAGAGAGGGCCCCCTCTTTCTCAGCAAGGGCTTGCACCGAGTTACTTAGCTTGGTCTCGAGCGTTTCGACCTTCTCCCTCAACTCCCGAAGAGCCTCTTCCTCCTTGGAGTCCGCATTCACACCCTGCTCGTGGGAGGCCTTCACACGGTTCCCTCCCTGCCGAAAGAGCGTTTTCACACCGGGCTCCGGATCGCTTAGGGAGGTACCGAACCCCCCATCCCTAAAGTTGGGCGCATTCACACCCCGTTCCTCGTCGCTCGAGGGCGAGTTCACCCCTGGCTCCGCGTCGCTCAGGGGGGAAGTCACACCGATGTCCAGGTGGCTGCGCGGGCTCGGCTGCGCTGCTGCCGCCCGCAGCCGGTGGTTCTCTTTGGTGAGATCGTCGATGTGGCGCTCCATTCGCTCGACTTGGGAGACGACCAAGAGCAGCTCGCGCATCTCTTCCGTGGGTTCCGGAGCCGACGACACCTGTCGGTGAGAGATTTGACATTGTCAAACTTCTGGGTCTTTGATGCTAATCCAGAGTCTGGTAACTCAATGTGTTGCCTCATTTTCTCAACTTGGGGGACGACCAAGAGCAGCTCGCGCATCTCCTCTGTTGGCTCTGGGGCAGCAAGAGACGCCGACACCTGTCGGGAAGAGAAAGTCGAATTTTGGCTTCTTGCTGAATCCAGATTGTGCTTCGATGTGGCGCTCCATTCGCTCGACTTGGGAGACGACCAAGAGCAGCTCGCGCATCTCTTCGGTGGGCTCGGGGGTTGAGAGATTCGCAGACACCTGCGGAAGAGGAAAAACAAAAGCCTAGATTATAAGCCTTCCTATATGTTCAGGATCCGGGCTCATATCTGCTCGAGAAGTAGGGAGACGACCAAGAGCAGCTCGCATCTCCTCTGTGGACTCGAGGAAAGGGGAACCGACAATATGTGTCGGAAAGGGGATGAAAATTACGTCAAACTTTGAAGTTGCCAAAAAAGACAAAAGTGGGGCGTTCCACATGTAATCGGAATCCTTTTCCCTCAACTGCGCAAAAAAGTAGAAGGCACAGGGAGAGAAACGTGTACAGCAAGCTTCAAGGAGCTGGGCTCTTTGCTTGTAGGAGAGACGCACAGGACAGGGGCGTGGGCGATTGACTATTTTGAGAAACGTTTTGGTTTCTAGCGTCAAACATGTGCCACCAGATATTCGAGGGCTCCTAGAAGAAGCCCCCATGCTCTCGGAGGAAGACAGGACGAACAGCATTGAACCTGAAGCACAGACGGACCTCATCCTCTCTGCGTGTAAAAAAGAAATTAAAAGAACAGAGTTGTGATTCAGAGCAGAATCCTAGACGAATCTTACCTGTTGCGCTGCAAGTGCCTCCTCCAGCTGCGCCTCCAACTCCCGGATCCTCGCAGTCAGCCGGCCATGCCCCTTCTTTCCAGGGGGATCCCTCACCATACCCTCCGCACTGCTCGTAAGCATACCCCCCACCCCCAGACCTCCGGAGCCTGCTCTTTCCAGTGCCGGTGTAAATACCACCGTCCCTTTGCTCCAGTGAGACTCACTTACTGCCCCTGCGCTCTTTGGCCTCGGCCGTTGTTTTGTCAGCCGATTAGTCCTGGCAAAAGGATCTGTTGCTTTCTCAGGAGCATCGCTTCCCGCAGAGTTTGTTGGCCCTAGTCCGTCCCTGCTTTCCGTGAAAACAAACTCAGCGTCTGCATCCTCGGGGCCCTGATCTTTTCCCGGCCCTACGGACAGCCCGCCCCCTTCAACGTCAAACCCCGCCCGCTGCACCTCGGCTTGGACTTGCTTTGACAGCTGTACATTTTCCTGCAAGCCAGACGCCCTTATCAGCCATGCTGCGGGCTGTTGATGCAAATGATCAAATATCCAGCTTCAATGTACTGTGGGAGATCAACAGATCTCACCTTCCTCAGCACTACATACGAGAAAGTTAGCGTCGCGTGTATCTCGATTCAGCCACAAAGGGTCACCAATTTGCTCCATTGTCATCCTTGGAGGTGCCCCTTGAAAAAGCGAACATTTGTTCCGCTGCCAAGAACAATACTACCTGGCGGGCACAAACCTGTGAGGTCACTTCGAGCTGGTGGGTCAGCTTTTTTAACCCGCTGGGTTACCTGCACGATCGCCAGCAGCTCCAGCAGCTCCTGTTCCGTCTCCTCCCGCGCAACGTCCTCCGCTTGCCGGCTCTCCAGAACACCCCCCAGCTTCATGCACTCCGTTCGCAGGTGCTCGATCTCGCGCGCGGCGGCGGCCATCGCGGTCCGATGTTGGGCCTGCATTTGCTCCTGCCGGCGAAGCTCCTCTTTGCCGCTCTCCAGTGCGAGATCGAGTTCTTTGTCCTGGGGGGAGAGGTCAGAAGCCTTTGTTAGGGGAGGTGGAATCAGTTCTCTTGTCATGGGTACTGGTGGGGATGGGATACCTGGGGAGATGCAAGCCGCTTTCCAGCTTGTTGTCACGACCCTTGTTTTGAAGAGATAAGCGGATTGACAAACAGAAGAAGTCCTTCCGGAGATCGATGATTCTGTTACCTTAACCTTTGAAGCAAACACGCATTGAAAAGTGCCCCTGTCTCCTGAGGGCCAGATGAGATTGCGCGCCACGACTGGGTAACGCCGCAGAACTTTTCACCGGCTAATGCAAGATGAGGGCATCTGTGACTCGAGACTCTGAAACATAGTCAGAGCCCCAGTGACACGGTGTCTCATTTTCAACCTGTCTGAAAGTAAGCAAGACAGTTGTCCACCATATTACGGCAGAGCAAGTGGCCTTCTCACTTGAGTCTGTTTGGGGCTTAACCATCATGTCTAGATTGACTGGACAATCGCGAAACAGAGATGCGTGACCCAGATTACCTTTAAGCTCTCAATATGCTGCCGCAGAACTGCGTTCTCTTTCTCAGCATGCAGTAACTTCGCCAGCCGTTCGTGTGCCGCCGCGTGCCCATCTTCTGATGTCAAATCTTCGGTCTGCAGACAAGGGAGCGCGATGGATCTTCTGGGGCCTTCGCTCATCATCAACTGGGAATGCACCACTTGACAGGTGGCGCCAACGGGCCAAGTAAGGCTGATTTTTATAGAAAAGCTGACAGGTGGCATTCACTGGGCCCAGTGAGTAGGGTAAAAGAGAGACACAGATCTCTCTTTCAAACGTAGAGATCCCTTATCCACTTCCTTGAGGGGTTGGAGAGGCAAGCCTTAAGAGTTTCATGCCAAACATTTTATGCCAAGTTCCAGTCCTTTATCTTTTTGTGGGGGCCATTTTTTTAGTGCAACTTACATGCTGCCCCAAAAGCAAAAGACTACACGTTTCAACCCATGCGATCTCTGTGGCCGTGTCTCTTGTTTAAACCAAGTGGTAAGGCATGTACCTCCTTCAACATGGCCTGTTCAGACCTCGAAACCAAAGGGCATTACCCAGACAAACTCACCATTTTGCGTGCTTCCTCCTCGGCGTTGCCGTCCAAGCTCGCCCGCATGGGCCCTAGGGCCCGCACTTGGCTTTCCACAAACGCCTCCATCTCCCTGACAGGCGTAGTTTCAGCGCAAGTCACCGCACTAGTGGGCAGCTTTACGGGCGTGAACAAGGCAGCGTTCCAGTCTGCGGAGCTCGCGCAGTCTGCGTTCCCCATCGGCACGTTTTCTGACACCTGGCTGAGGACCCTTTCGGACGGGGCTTCCCTCTCGCTGTCCATTGTCTAACTAGCGATGAGAAACACTTGAGCAGCCAATGACTTTAAGTTTGTCTTACAGGTCCATTTCAATCTCTCTTTGGAAGTGCTGGACCAGCGGTAAACTGCGGAGAAGACTCTCTTTGGCCCAACGGCCCAAACCGCCTTTTTAGACCATATCGGCGGATAATTACGTCCCTCTAGTCTAAAGAGCAGCCGTCTGGTGTGCCCAGATCCTCTACTGCGCTAGAGCTGCAGGCAGCAGCTGGAGGGTGTATGTACGGTATCAGGAGGAGCGCGCATCATTGCAACGTCACTTCAGCCTTCAAAAGCTAAAGACCGCAGCCAGACCTCCAGATCAAATTCAGAGCACTTGCCACTGACTTGGACTCTCGAGTTGAATTTGAACGTTTTGGCGGGTGAATGGAAGCCCTCCAAACCCTAAATTTGAGAATCCTATTAGGTAAACCCGATCGCGCAGTCCGTTCCGTTCCGTTCCGCTCCGATCGTCGACGGCTAACCCTAACTAGTAAAACGAGCACGCGCGCGCACGCTACCGAATGTTTTTCATGCTGTGAAAACCTAGAAAAGGTGCACATGGTGGTGCAACGGGGACATGCAAGACGCCAGTTTGGAGATCAACGCTTTGAGAGGGGCCCTTCTGATTCAATCAACATTGAGTGGACTGTTTCAGTTGCTGCTTGAAGGTGCTGCTTAAAGTTGTGCGGTTGTGATGGCGGCTGTCGGCGGCCAGGAGGCGACAAGCATTCTTCAGGCACTACAGGTGGCCTTGGATGTGACGGGAGCGGGCAAGGACAAGCGGAAGGCGGCCTCAGACTTCTTGGAACAGGTATGTGTTCTGATGTACCAATTGTGGCGCCGTTAGCATTGCAGCTGTTGTAGTGCGTCTACTGTGGGTGTCCTGGATTATCTGAGTAATGACGCTTGTAGAGTTTCCCATTGAAAGCCGACACTGGATGCTTGTAGGCAGTCGTTGAGCACATTTCTGGCGCCACGTTGACATCAAGGTGACACTGAATCTCTCAGATAATTCCATCCATTCTGCTCCCCAGCAAACTTGGCATTGCGAGTACCACCACCAGTACTTTCTGTCTGTTCAGTCAACATTGGCTACAAGGCAGAGCGCAACATTGCTGTTTGCCGTTTACAGAGTTGCTGATTGCTCTTGTCGAAGTAGTCAATGGGGTTTACTGGTTCCTTTGGAAATTAGCTCTGTCCAAAAGCGAGTGTGAACTGCATCATCCTAGACCATTGTCAGTCAGAGACAAGGAAGCAGAGGCTGAGCTTGAAGCATGCTGTCATCTGGAAGTTTATTCATGCCTGAATGAGAGTTGCTCGACAAACAGATCAAAGGATTCCCCATTAATGTGACCAGGCAGCGTTCCCCTGCACTGCTCATCAGTACCTTCCAGAGGACTGACTTGTAAAGAAGCAGACAACATTTAGTGGCTATCGCTTTCTCCAGTGCCAATGAACAATGCGACAAACTTTAAGCAGACTAAATTACACTGTATCTTGATGTTTCTGCCACAATTCTATTGGTCAGGTGAAACTGGGCGAGGTTCACAGTGTGACCAACGCTGCCTTGTTCCTGGTACAAGCGTCCCAGCCCCTGGAGGTCCGCCACTATGCCTTCTCGCTCCTGCAGGTAGGTGCCCTCTATCTTGTCATATGGATTTTCATGCTTGAAGAGGAGAGTTTCCTTCAATAGAATACATGAATGGTTGCGCTGTAGAAATCCACAATTCTGTAAGGGGTGTATACCTCGAAGCAGTGGATCTATTTCAGTCAAAGAAGATTGGCCCCTACATCTTACAGGGAAGAAACAGGAAGTTGCGTTTCGGTCGCGTATGAGGTCTCTTGTATCAGGCAGCTTGTCATAGCACCACGTGTGACCACCTATCGGAGCCTGTATTCTTGCTCTAAGGTAACTGGCTTTCCCTACTGGTCTTCCGTAAGTATGAATTGTCACCCCCGTGCTGAATTGGTTTCGAAAGTCATTATTTCTTCTTGTAGGAGAATTCAGCTTACCATGTGATTCTTTCCTGTCTGGAAGGATGTTTGTCTCTCTTTCCATAAACCAGTCCGCCATGGACTTGCCGTCGTTTTCCATCTTTGATACGCATTTCCTACTTCCTTTTCAGAACTTCGTTATCCGCAGACACAGCGTCCCCATAGGAAGAAAGTTACATATGTAGTAGGAAAAGATTAGAAAAGATGTTTAGAGAGGAAGCGAAACTCGTAACACAGAAAAGCTTGATTTGGTGTAGCAATCTGGTGCAAACGGATTTGACTCCCCTGCTTATTCAGCACGTGGCACACTCCCGTTGGTCCGACGTCCCCCCCGCCGAGCGGAACCCCCTCGCAAACCTCTTCCTGCAACTGCTCGCCACAAGCGGAGGGGAGGGGGAGCCCTGGGCCATAAAGAGCCGAGCGGCCGCTCTAGTTGCTGAAGTCATCCGTCAAGAAGGGCCGAAATTGTTAGAAGAAGTCCTTCCCCCTTTGAGAGAAATGGCGCAGCAGGGTCCGGTGCAAGCGGAGACGGTCGCAATGCTCCTGCGGTGGCTCCCGGAAGACGTTACGGTGCACAACGAAGATCTTGATGGTGCGTGACGACGTCTCTGCGAGCACAATGAGAGTCGTTGATGTACGAGTGTGGTAGGACATGTGATTCGAGGTTGAACACCTTTATCCTAGCAGTGGATAAAGACTGACCCGTTCTCGTTGAAAGTATTTCAGACAACTTTGGTCCTATCGAGCCTTCTCAAAATCTACCACGTCATGATTAATCTGCATGGAATGGCAGCTTTGCGAATGCTGGGCTTGTCCCCAGTTTGTTTGCCACGGCCCTGTTCGATGTGAAGCGATCACTGGAGAGGTCAAGCGAACAAGCCTGGCCAGTTACAAATGTCAGTCAGCGCTTCTGGGCGCTGATTTGTGAGTCCACGAATCCCTTTGTTCACTTACATTTCTTCCTGTTGTTGTTTCACAGCCCCCGCCCGCCGCGCCCTTCTCGGCGGCCTCACTTCCAATCTGAGCACCATCCTACCGCTCCTCTACAACCTCGCCTCCGTCCACTGTGGCGCGGCAATGGCCGCAGTCCAGTCGGGCCGGCAACTAGAGGCGCGCCCGCATGCAGCAGTCGTTACCGCCGCACTCGCGGCCGCGGACGCGTACTCGGACTGGGCCCCGGTGGTTGGTCTGGAGTCGAGCCGGCTGATTGAGGCGGCCGGGGCGCTGCTTCAGGCGCGGGAGTTCCGGGATGGGGCGGCGGAGTTTCTGAAGCACGTCGCGGGAAGGTGGGGGATCCCTTGCGGTTAATGCTTATGAGGAATTTGGCGGCTGGTTGTCTGATGGAAGTGCTTTTAGAGTGTCGTTTAAGAGGTGAAAGCAGGCGGCCACGGAGTTCCTGAAGCGCGTTGGGGGAAGGTGGGTGATCGTTTGGGGGAGGTTGAGATTGGGGTGCCTGGCTTTTATGGATTCGCTTGAATCAAACGGCTGGTAGGTACAGAGGGATTGCTTTGCAGTGTGGTGTGACGCTTGAAGGCGACACGTCCTCAGAAGGTGGAGAATGCAGCCTTCCTACAATGTTGACTCGACTTTCAAATGAAGTTCCAATAACCTAGTCCGTCCTGAGGAGCAAGCTTCCATGTTTTTCTATTCGGATTGAGAGCAACATGGTTGTCCTCATTCCCGACTAGCCTTCTACATGATTCCGGCAATCTCCAACTCGACAAAGTTCTTTACTTGTCAAACGGACCCCACTTTCCAATGAAACACTACTCTCACCTGTTTAGGCGTCGACCAACTGACGAACGAGAGCGGGAGACCCTCGACCAGCACGACGCCGCATTGGGCCACGTGGCAGCCTCTCTGGTAGCCGCCGCTCCCTCCGCGCTGACTCAGGCTCAGGCTTCCGACAATCAGGACGAAGACCGTGATTATGCAGAGCGAATTGCGGAGGGTTTGGCGGCCGTTGGGAGCATGAACGCGGCCGCGGTAGCGGGCCAGGGGCCGACAGCTGTCACGGCTTTTCTCACACAGGTGAGCTGAGCGTTTGGTAGATAAGTTGACTGATCCCGCGACAAACTTCTATCAGGCGCATACTTATCAAAGTTGCACGGAACCCTTTGCTGACGGAGAGTCAAATAGATCAGAGCCTTCAGACCTGATCAGGTCTGAAAACGACAGTCATCTTATTATCCGTACCTTAATATGGTCGCTGGCTGTTCTTCTCCTCTTGTTTCCTGATCAAAGTAGTCGCCAAAGGAACATTCAACTGACAAACATGTAGAATGACCTGGAATCCAGACCTGACAGAGTTGACCTGGTTCCAATCTCAAACAAAACCAGGTTACACCACTGGTACGAGCAGTACCATTGAAGCATGCCCATCCTTTGGAGGGTTTGAAACGGCCCCATATGGCGTCTTCTCTTCCGCAAGATCTTGCACACGTACTCTGTTTCCACGTCAGTGCAAACGCTCTCGTCGATAACGAAGCTCAGCTTTCCGCCTCACGCTCACGCACAGGGTCAGAAGAATCCTATAAGAGTCCTTCCGTCCTGCTTGTAACAGGTGCTTGGTTTTCTGTCGTCCTCGGTGGCGCTGGCGAATCCTATCCTGCCAGGTGTCACCAGCCTGTTGCGTGACGCGGCCGCCCCCAAAGACAAGGCGAAGCCAAAGCCGGGGCCCAGTCTGCAATTGCCTCCCGAGTGGACGACGGCAGTTCTCGAAGCTGGTGAGATGCCCAAGACTTCAGGTATTCAGCTTGTTGTAGCTTGTTGAGTGCCAGAATTTCGATGTCGTCAGCGACCGAGTAAGGACTCCGGCTTTTACATTTTGAGTCTCGCGGCTCCCAAGGAGAGGAACAGAGGGCTGCAGAGCTGTACGTGATGTTTGAGGAGTGACCGGAGGTAAGTGTGTGTTACCGACCAATAGACCGCTCTGACGGTTGAAGGACGTTCGCGTCAAGGCCTCTGGCTTTCGGATTCTGAAGTCTCGGGAACTCGGTTGCAATGAGAGTAGAGCTCGTCATTTGAGGAGATCGAGAGTTCGTCTGGGGTTCTGTTCAGCCCACGAGCCACTTCGATCGCTGAAGGGACATTCCAAACCCGCCTGTTTGCTCCTTAAACTGCCGACACTTCTTTAGCGGATGATGTGTGAACTGTAGACCGATAATTACGCCACTCTAGAACCTTTCTGCGACACACCAAGCGCGACGAGAATCATCTCAGCAGATAGTCAAAAATATCAAAGCGGCTGAAACGCTAATCAACGGCCAGATTAGGACGCAGTGAAATATCTCATGCAGTGCATGAGAAGGTGCGGCGCTGCAGTGGTCACGGGTTGATTTTGGAGGAGGGGGTTGAAGGGTCCTCTGAAGACAACGGAGGCGACTGCCCCCCGGAGTTTGAGTCGGGACGAGACTACGGTACCTACCGGGGCAAGCTGGTAAGTACCGCGGTTAATAGTTTGTTTGCCGTACATCGCATAGAACGGATAGTGTCAACTTTCGTCGTTAAAAATGATTGTGAAGGACTAAAGGGCGTCGTCTATTGTCCTGTTTCCAGTCCTGACCCTGACAGGCGTGGTGTTACTCCGAAGGCTACTTCCTTCGAGCAGGCTACATGATATTCTGGTCGTATCTGAGAGTTGAAAGCACTTACCACTCTCTTATCAGAGTCTTCCAGAAAGGCCGGTCGAAGGAAAGGAGCATTTGGAGGCAGACAAAGAAAAGGGATGCCACAGCGGGAACTCGCATTGGACTTCTTCAAAGCATTTCTTAGGCAGAGAGTTTGTCTACGGAAACATCTGCCCTGGATCGTCGGTCATCACGAGTGATGTGATTCAGAGACGACAGTCCTAGGAAATGATTTCTTCTGTTGGAAGTCCACGGCCGACCTGCGCCCGTCTTTTGCTGCAGAGTGACGTCATACGGTTGGTCGGGGGAGTCCAGCCCCAGTTGGCGGTAGAGTACGCGTGCCGCCAGGTCATGACTGCAACCACCGCCGCAGCGCAAGCGCCCAGACCCGCTCCGAAAGAGGTAAGGTTTTCAGTACGGATCTGATAGGCTGGTCAATGTACTGGTGTTCCGTTCAACAATGAGAAGATCATTCGGTCTCTCGAACTTCAAATCAATTACGGCTTCTAAGGCTGCGGAATCTAGAGTTTTGGGGTTTGGAATTTTCCCACCGAAGCCTTGGTCGCGTCCTTGCCGCCCGAACGTCCGTTTTTTGAGTTACTCCTCGGTTATCCAGTCTTTGTTGATGTACATGCTCGAGCGTGCTGATAAGGGGATGCTTCGGATGACGGTCAGATTGTTCTTGGGCACGACCCGTTTGTACCAATCACGATCGCTTCCGGCTTGAGTAAAGACTCAAAGGTCCCGGCTTATTGCTTTAGTGTAGTTTCAGATCTCGTGAAGCCCTTTGGTTCCAACTGTTAACAACTCTTTTCGTGGTGTGCTAATTCAGCGGGTTAAGTTTTCGCTGTCTGACTCGTGCACCAGGAGAATCCCTCTACACACGACTCTCAGAGAGTCGACAGAGCTTAATTTCCGAAAAGAGTCATCTAAACACAGCTCCCTTCAAGCATTCCTCAACCACAACCTCCCCCAAGATCCCCTGAAATCCGACCCCCCATTTCGAAAGCAGGTGCTTGTGGCTGTAGAAGCTGCCCACGTGGTCCTTGAGAACGTACTCGCGGGCGCCCCGTCTACCGCGCTCGAGGCGGCCGCACGCTCTGGGGGGCAGGCCCAGCAGGACGACCTCGGGCTGGCGACCCCCCTGGAAGCGATGCTGCTCCACTTGTTGAGCCTTCAGGTCAGTGGGCGTGCTCCATCATTTCTGGATGCAGTCTACAAAAAACACGGAGAAAGGGTAAGGCAGAAGCTTCTCAGATGGAGATGACTGTTCGTAGTGGCCTTCTTTGCTGTTCTCCGCTGCATGTGACGCATCATAACATAGACTATGAAACGCCGCACCAATGCAAAGTACACCTCACGTATGCGAAATTCGCGAACTGCTTGACAAAGACCGCTCGACCCACGTTTACGTCGCCGTTTCCTGTCAAGGGCTTGGCGACTTGATTCGGTCATCAAACACCGTTGATATTCGAGAATTCGCAAGATCAAACTATTACATGGACCATACGAGTCTGCTACATATACTTGATTATACCGAGAGGAAGAGAATTTTTCTGACGGAACTGTCTTTCCCACTCTGAACCTCAAACAGTGGAGCAAAAAGGGTCTACTTTTCTTGTTTTAGGTGTTAGCAGCTGGTTTATGTGCATCTGCAAGGCCCGCTCTTTGACGCGTGTGGTTGTGTTCAATGTGACCAAATCTGCCGTCCTGTTACGGGAGTCTGCCTACTGTGAAAGGAAGCAAAGTTCAACTTTCTCACCTTAATCAGTGAACTGACGTTGGTTCTCTGTACTTCCCCAAGGTGTCGGCGGCTGGTTTGGTGCATCTACAAGGCCGGCTCTTTGACGCGTGTGGCCCGTACCTGGCTTTCGGCCCTGCGGCGGTTCCAAACGTGCTGCACAAGCTGCTGTTGATGCTGCAGGGACTGGTGCTTCCTCCAGGGTCTCAACAGTGAGCTGGCTTCGCAAGCCTCTTCTCCTTCTTTTAGTATGCTGGTGGATTCAAGAGGTGGAGCTTGAGCCGCTTTCCAATCTTGCCTTCCTTCTTTTGTGTTGTGGTGTCGAGAGTCCAGGGTGGAGTTTGCTGGGTAAATTTGTGTGTGCGGCTTTGACGAGTGCAGTTCAACGAAGCTGCTGCTGATGCTGCCGGGGCGAATCTGCTACCAGGAAGTTAGCAGTCAGTTTACAAAGAAGTCCTCGATTCTCTTACCTCTTTCGTTGTTCTGGTTTGCATTAAAATCTGGTCTTCCGCAAGAAGTCGCCAACCCTCCAAAGGCTGACTCTTCCTTCAGAGGGTCTCAACAGGAGACCATCCAGCAGTCTTTCAAACTATGGCACAATTGCGGTGTGGGATGGCAATATTCAAGGAAGGCGTGTGGAGTTTGAATCGATTTCGGACGATCCAGGGCACTTCCTTAGTAGCCCAACTGACCATCCGATGGTCGAACACGGGGGCGATCCCCTTCCCCTAGAATCAACAGAACCGTCAGACAATACGGTATCGATCTTGACGCCCTGTTTTACGGTTTGAAGTGGCACGGGGTCAAAGATCAAGTGACTATAACCTTCGCTTGAGTTGCGCTTCACGTGCCGATTACACATAACGGCCTTGGCCTTATCAGCTCTGTAAGTCATACCAGAGACGCTGCGTATCCAGCATTTTGAGTCCTCCGCTTGAGTATGTTTCTCTTTTTGCAGCTCCGAGCCCAGTATCCCGGCCCACGGCAACCCCCGAGATAAAGCTCCCATCTGGTCGGCTCGACTTCTGGTGAGCCCCTTGAACATCAACCTCGGCCCCTTGTTTGGAACCCTTCGTATGAGGTTCGCCACAGCTCCCGAAGTGAAAAACAGTTGCCTCGTCTTAGTGCAGATATGCCAGCCTGAAAGGTCCTACTGACAGACTTTGATCTGCTTTCTGCTTCTGATATTTGTGATCTCTGTCCATCTTTACGGCAGCGACAAAGCCGTTTGGGCAGCGACAAAGACGGTGGCCCCCTGTTTGATGCGTCCGGTGTAACTTGAAAGACAGGTTTCGTCGCGACCCAAACGGTTTCCAAGTCGAGGTTCCTAAAAGGTTTTCTAAGCAGACGTTGCGGCTTTCGAGGAGGCATGCCGGATGGACATCCCCCGCTCTCACTCTAACACGCAGGCTTGTCCAGCACACCATGCTGACTTTTGAAAGTCGATTCCAAGGCGCAATGGAACGTTCAAAAATTGACGGAGCAAGGATTACGGAATGCTTCACTGAAGACAAATACAAAGGACACGTTTCCCTGCTTGGACGATCCAGGAGCGGTCCCTTTTGTAGAGAGTATTGCGGGCTTCACCGCTCAGATGCACAGCTCGTGCGACATGATCCAACATCAAACTCACCTGACCTCGCAATTGTGAAATCTCCTGAGCTCCCTACATATTCCAGATTTCTTGCTAGGCGTGTGCGTTCGATCCTACACGTCGCTCAGTCAGCCGGCTCAGGTTTCGTCTCCCCTTTGGAGAGCATCACGGGCGCCATCGGTCAAATGCACGAAGCAGGCGCAACGTTTTTGCAATACAGGCCAAACCTAACATTTTACTGACCCCAAATACCTTTCACAAACCTAAAACCCGTGCTTGTCATCAGGTTTGCACGTCGATTCTGCGCTTCACTTGGTCAGCCGCCGGTTCGGGTCTCGTCCCCCGTTTGGAGAGCATCGCGGGCGCCATCGGTCAAGTGCACAACGCAGGCGTAACATTTTCAACACTGACGCAGGACAACCTCGATGCTTAACACTCCCAAAAGGGTTCACAAATCTGGAACCCGTGCTTGCCTTCAGGTTTGCACGTCGATTCTGCGCGACGCTCGGTCGGCCGGTTCGGGTCTCGTCCCCCATT